AAAGTGTTTTTGAAATCTTATAAGACAAAAGATTACTCTCGTAGAGAGGATATAAAACCAATACAGAGAACTTATGAAAACTTGTAAACGATCTTATCTAAGATGAGTCTTAAAAGAAATAACTTTGAGACAAGTAATGAGTGTATGGTAATATTGATACCAAAAGTTCTATTTCTTCTCTTCAACAATCCTCTTTATATAGAATTTTTCGAGAAAGATCCGTTATTCAGAGCTTTTAACTTTCTTCTAGGTATATAGCCTTTATGATAGAGTTAGAAGTTATGTTGCGTCCTGATAGAGCAACTGTGCTTTGTATGGATGAGACAGACAAAAAACATGTATGAATATTCTTTGAATATCCTTATGTCTCTAAACGTTCTTCTGATTCTGAGTAGACTTTTGAATAAAGTTGGTAATTTGTACAGAAAAAGAGAGCACAAAATAGCAGATAAAAGAATACTTGAACGTACTTGCATTAAAGCGTTAAACAACTTAAGATTTAGGCATGACACAATAACTATCGTTTAAAGTTTGTCTGTTTTGAGTACCTTTTTAAAGCATTTAGGATATCTAGTGTTTAGCGAGATTATATGATTCTTAGACAACCTAACTCTTTATTAGATGCTTTCGCGATTAGATGTTTTGTTACAAACTCTATAGTGTTTAGCACTTGTCAAACATATGTTAAACATTCTTCTTTCAATAGACGTTCTTGTATCCATTAGGCACATTAAAGAGTATTGTTTAGTGCTTCTAACAAATGTCCTAGACGGTTAAACACTATTTCATGTTAGACTTATGTTAAACTTCAAAACAAAACAAGGTTTGTTTGTCTTAATATTGCATTTAAAGATATAAAATTGAAATTATTTTATAAAGGATAATTTTTTAAAATTTTTATTTTGATATAATTAGTTTAAATTTACTTTTTAAAATAGCCAAATTTACTTACATTATTATTTCAATTAAGTAATTTGATTTAAATTTGATTGTGAACATTATCCTTCTATCTGAATTTAAATTTCAAAGATTTGTTTTTAATTTTATTCAAAATTTATAAAAGTAAAATATAAAAATATACACAATTAATCATAGGTATTGATAAGTTTTTTATATATCCGTAGTTACTTTTTTCACATGTACCTAACGGGACAAATATATTTAGGAGGCATAACACAGAAAATACACACATTCCGTCCGACCGTTGTCATCCTACTTAATGAATTAGTTATAATAATTTATATTAATATTCTATGTATTGTCAAAAAAAAAAACAATGAGACTAATATCATTTACTTTTAGGTTTCATTTTTCCAATATCTTAATTACATATTTTAATCCCTCCATCAACTTTTACTTTAAAAAATTACGAAATTTTGTTATTTATGTGACAGGCAGAAGGAAAGTTCCGGTAGTGTTTCTCTTCAGCTACAGCTCGTCATAGCTTTTATGCGTATTTCCTTCCCATCAATTTCCAATGTGTACCCATTACCATTAATAATCTATTTCAAAATTTTTTAGAATACTACTCTATAATGATTCAAATTCTATTTTATTTGTGTAGTAAATATTGAATATTTTGAAATATTAAACACACACAGAGGTAGGATCTCTTCAAACAAACATTTTCAAAATTTGATTTGGCTTTTGATGCGGTTAGAAGTAAATTTGGTGTATGGGTTGAGTGGGTCCTGTGGTTTTAAGAACTGAAATTGCACTGTTCATATTGATGGTTTAAACAAGACGTATAGTTGTTGTGTGAGTTGTTTAATTAGTGAATAATATAGGGTCCATTTCCAAAGACATGCCAACTAATTTAATTTATGACTTGCTGCTTCATTTCAAACGTTAGAGTTGAAGTCATGCAAAGCCATGTTCTTTTTTCCTCTTACGTTGAGCTAATTTCAACTGCAAAAAGTGGACATTAATGTGATTGTTAGGGAGAAAAAGGAGTTTGTAATTTGGTGTAGGTTAGCTCCCTCATTATTGCTGCCAGAGTAGATTTGTAGTTAAGTAGGAAAATGATCACCAATTCCTAATTGTTTAGTTTCAATCTCTATTTATTTCATGCTTTCATGTCATATGTTGCGTGCACAAAAACTATACTTTTGCTCTGTTGGACGCCATTCATTAGATCTTCATTACAGATTTTGAATTTCATTGCTATTCTCCTCTTTTTGTTGAACTGGATTAAATATTTCCTTCTCATTTTTGTGAACTGGTAATGCTGCAATTCTTGGTATCTTCACACTGAATTTCATACACAGGTATTTTCTCTTGGTTCCTCTAAACTCCAAATGTGAACACTTGCTTGATTATGGATTGGAAAATAAGGCATTTCTGATGAACATGGTCCATTTGTCGGTGGTTGCCTCTGCTGCTCATCATAATTGTTTTTGGAACTTGATCCCTTGCTTTTAGCATCTTCTTCACAAATCTGCATAACATTTTTTTTTTGTGTACAATGCTTGCAATGATCTATGTATCTCTGAAAATCTGGTCTTTAATTAAGTTGAATGGAGTCAAGTGATTCATGTATGTAGCCAATGAGAGTTATTCTAATATGATCTGCTGATTCTGTCACTTCCTTCTCTCCTAACTGTTTTGTTTGTTTAATATTTCTGGCATTGTCCGTAAGGTGAATGATGTTATGTTTGTATGACTTCACTTGAGGAATCAGCAAGTTGTATTAGTTAACATTTGGTGGTATTCTTGTTTTGAATGTGAAATTTTTTACCCATCTTCATCCCTTTTGAATGTCCTTTGTCACAGTAAATGTTTCAATCTAGCTCCAAAGGAAAAAAGTAGTTTTTCAGTATTTGAAGGTTAACTTTTCGAGTATGCAATCACCAGGTTTGGTGGCAAAAACTAGAAATCAACACTCATGATTCACAACATCATTTTAAATCAGGAGATTTCAGCCTACTTTTAGCGACAATGCCTTTTCTTTATGAAGTACAAAAGTGAGTCAAACTTCAGCTTTTTCTTTTTTCAGTTCTTTTTTTCTCGGATTCTCAATCACAATCCTCCTTTTTCCCTCTTCCTTCTTGCTTGTTTTTTGGTAAAGGAATACTTTTTTTGGTAAAGGAATCTTCTTACTTGTTTTGAAATGTCTGATTTATTTGAAAAAATGTACCAACAGAAGACACTCACTTTAAAATTCAAGTTCTCTAAGAACGGAATTGCTGAACTTATTCGACTTGATTTTTGGTCAATTTCTAAATCCACTCTGTAAACTAATAGTCTAAACCACCATTTCATGTCTAAGTTCTGCATTACCTTCCAAGTTGGCACATCATTGTTTTTAGACTAAACTCTTTCTTACTCAAGTAACTCAATGTCACAGAACAAAAAAGTAGTTCATTATGACTTTCAACATTTTTATCCTTCTCAGCCATATGATCAGCTAACACTTTACCATAATTTTCCAGAGCTGAACCAAGCAAGGATGAAGAACAGCTAAGATCAGGACTTGAAACTATCACTTGCCTCCACTCCACACCAAACAAGAAGCAATGAAGTTCCAATTCCGTGCTGTTTCATTTGTTCTGCTAAGCTTCATAGTGTCTCTCTTTGGCCTGATTGTAGCTGACTTGAACTCCGACAGACAAGCTCTGCTTGAGTTCTTCTCAAATGTTCCACACGCCCCAAGATTAAATTGGAGTGAGTCCACTCCAATTTGTACTTCTTGGGCTGGTGTGACTTGCAACCAAAATGAAACTAGTGTCATTAGCATCCATCTTCCAGGGGCAGGTTTCCAGGGCTCCATTCCAGAGAATAGCCTGGGTAAACTAGATTCTCTTAAAATTCTGAGCCTTCATTCCAATGGCCTCAGAGGAAACCTTCCTTCTGACATTCTCTCTATTCCTTCACTCCAATATGTAAACCTGCAGCAAAATAACTTCTCAGGTCTAATCCCTTCTTCCCTCTCCCCTAAACTCATAGCATTAGACATTTCCTCTAATAATTTCTCGGGAAGTATCCCACGTATCTTTCAGAATCTCAGTAGACTAACCTGGTTGTATCTCCAAAACAATTCCCTCTCTGGGGCTATTCCTGACTTCAACTTTACAAGTCTCAAGTATTTGAATTTGAGCTATAACAACTTGAATGGCTCAATTCCAAAGTCCATCAACAAGTATCCGTACTCTTCTTTTGCTGGGAACTCTCACTTGTGTGGACCACCTCTCAATAACTGCTCTGCAGTCTCCACTCCATCTTCATTTTCTTCCTCCATTTCTCCTTCACCTGTTCATCAACCACTCTCTCCAGAAGCAGCTCCCCAAAATAGAAGTGCTACCACTTCAAAGAGTTACTTTGGCCTAGCTTCTATACTTGCTCTGACAATTGGGGGCTGTGCTTTCCTCTCTCTCCTAGTTTTGGTGATGTTTGTATGCTGTTTAAAGAAGAACAAAAGTCAAAGCAGTGGCATACTTACAGGAAAGGCACCGTGTTCTGGAAAGATTGAGGTTTCAAAGAGTTTCGGGAGTGGGGTGCAAGAGGTTGAAAAAAACAGGCTGTTTTTCTTTGAAGGTTGCTCTTACAGCTTTGACCTTGAAGATTTGTTAAAGGCTTCAGCTGAAGTTCTTGGAAAGGGGAGCTATGGAACAACATATAGGGCTGTTTTGGAGGATGGAACAGCAGTGGTAGTTAAAAGGTTGAGGGAAGTTCTAGTTGGAAAGAAGGAGTTTGAGCAGCAGATGGAGGTTGTAGGAAGAATTGGTCGGCACCCTAATGTTTTGCCCCTTCGAGCCTTTTACTTCTCCAAAGATGAGAAACTTCTAGTATATGACTACATGCCTGGAGGCAGCTTGTTTTCCTTGTTGCATGGTACGTTTTATTTACNAGACAAAAGATTACTCTCGTAGAGAGGATATAAAACCAATACAGAGAACTTATGAAAACTTGTAAACGATCTTATCTAAGATGAGTCTTAAAAGAAATAACTTTGAGACAAGTAATGAGTGTATGGTAATATTGATACCAAAAGTTCTATTTCTTCTCTTCAACAATCCTCTTTATATAGAATTTTTCGAGAAAGATCCGTTATTCAGAGCTTTTAACTTTCTTCTAGGTATATAGCCTTTATGATAGAGTTAGAAGTTATGTTGCGTCCTGATAGAGCAACTGTGCTTTGTATGGATGAGACAGACAAAAAACATGTATGAATATTCTTTGAATATCCTTATGTCTCTAAACGTTCTTCTGATTCTGAGTAGACTTTTGAATAAAGTTGGTAATTTGTACAGAAAAAGAGAGCACAAAATAGCAGATAAAAGAATACTTGAACGTACTTGCATTAAAGCGTTAAACAACTTAAGATTTAGGCATGACACAATAACTATCGTTTAAAGTTTGTCTGTTTTGAGTACCTTTTTAAAGCATTTAGGATATCTAGTGTTTAGCGAGATTATATGATTCTTAGACAACCTAACTCTTTATTAGATGCTTTCGCGATTAGATGTTTTGTTACAAACTCTATAGTGTTTAGCACTTGTCAAACATATGTTAAACATTCTTCTTTCAATAGACGTTCTTGTATCCATTAGGCACATTAAAGAGTATTGTTTAGTGCTTCTAACAAATGTCCTAGACGGTTAAACACTATTTCATGTTAGACTTATGTTAAACTTCAAAACAAAACAAGGTTTGTTTGTCTTAATATTGCATTTAAAGATATAAAATTGAAATTATTTTATAAAGGATAATTTTTTAAAATTTTTATTTTGATATAATTAGTTTAAATTTACTTTTTAAAATAGCCAAATTTACTTACATTATTATTTCAATTAAGTAATTTGATTTAAATTTGATTGTGAACATTATCCTTCTATCTGAATTTAAATTTCAAAGATTTGTTTTTAATTTTATTCAAAATTTATAAAAGTAAAATATAAAAATATACACAATTAATCATAGGTATTGATAAGTTTTTTATATATCCGTAGTTACTTTTTTCACATGTACCTAACGGGACAAATATATTTAGGAGGCATAACACAGAAAATACACACATTCCGTCCGACCGTTGTCATCCTACTTAATGAATTAGTTATAATAATTTATATTAATATTCTATGTATTGTCAAAAAAAAAAACAATGAGACTAATATCATTTACTTTTAGGTTTCATTTTTCCAATATCTTAATTACATATTTTAATCCCTCCATCAACTTTTACTTTAAAAAATTACGAAATTTTGTTATTTATGTGACAGGCAGAAGGAAAGTTCCGGTAGTGTTTCTCTTCAGCTACAGCTCGTCATAGCTTTTATGCGTATTTCCTTCCCATCAATTTCCAATGTGTACCCATTACCATTAATAATCTATTTCAAAATTTTTTAGAATACTACTCTATAATGATTCAAATTCTATTTTATTTGTGTAGTAAATATTGAATATTTTGAAATATTAAACACACACAGAGGTAGGATCTCTTCAAACAAACATTTTCAAAATTTGATTTGGCTTTTGATGCGGTTAGAAGTAAATTTGGTGTATGGGTTGAGTGGGTCCTGTGGTTTTAAGAACTGAAATTGCACTGTTCATATTGATGGTTTAAACAAGACGTATAGTTGTTGTGTGAGTTGTTTAATTAGTGAATAATATAGGGTCCATTTCCAAAGACATGCCAACTAATTTAATTTATGACTTGCTGCTTCATTTCAAACGTTAGAGTTGAAGTCATGCAAAGCCATGTTCTTTTTTCCTCTTACGTTGAGCTAATTTCAACTGCAAAAAGTGGACATTAATGTGATTGTTAGGGAGAAAAAGGAGTTTGTAATTTGGTGTAGGTTAGCTCCCTCATTATTGCTGCCAGAGTAGATTTGTAGTTAAGTAGGAAAATGATCACCAATTCCTAATTGTTTAGTTTCAATCTCTATTTATTTCATGCTTTCATGTCATATGTTGCGTGCACAAAAACTATACTTTTGCTCTGTTGGACGCCATTCATTAGATCTTCATTACAGATTTTGAATTTCATTGCTATTCTCCTCTTTTTGTTGAACTGGATTAAATATTTCCTTCTCATTTTTGTGAACTGGTAATGCTGCAATTCTTGGTATCTTCACACTGAATTTCATACACAGGTATTTTCTCTTGGTTCCTCTAAACTCCAAATGTGAACACTTGCTTGATTATGGATTGGAAAATAAGGCATTTCTGATGAACATGGTCCATTTGTCGGTGGTTGCCTCTGCTGCTCATCATAATTGTTTTTGGAACTTGATCCCTTGCTTTTAGCATCTTCTTCACAAATCTGCATAACATTTTTTTTTTGTGTACAATGCTTGCAATGATCTATGTATCTCTGAAAATCTGGTCTTTAATTAAGTTGAATGGAGTCAAGTGATTCATGTATGTAGCCAATGAGAGTTATTCTAATATGATCTGCTGATTCTGTCACTTCCTTCTCTCCTAACTGTTTTGTTTGTTTAATATTTCTGGCATTGTCCGTAAGGTGAATGATGTTATGTTTGTATGACTTCACTTGAGGAATCAGCAAGTTGTATTAGTTAACATTTGGTGGTATTCTTGTTTTGAATGTGAAATTTTTTACCCATCTTCATCCCTTTTGAATGTCCTTTGTCACAGTAAATGTTTCAATCTAGCTCCAAAGGAAAAAAGTAGTTTTTCAGTATTTGAAGGTTAACTTTTCGAGTATGCAATCACCAGGTTTGGTGGCAAAAACTAGAAATCAACACTCATGATTCACAACATCATTTTAAATCAGGAGATTTCAGCCTACTTTTAGCGACAATGCCTTTTCTTTATGAAGTACAAAAGTGAGTCAAACTTCAGCTTTTTCTTTTTTCAGTTCTTTTTTTCTCGGATTCTCAATCACAATCCTCCTTTTTCCCTCTTCCTTCTTGCTTGTTTTTTGGTAAAGGAATACTTTTTTTGGTAAAGGAATCTTCTTACTTGTTTTGAAACGACTGATTTATTTGAAAAAATGTACCAACAGAAGACACTCACTTTAAAATTCAAGTTCTCTAAGAACGGAATTGCTGAACTTATTCGACTTGATTTTTGGTCAATTTCTAAATCCACTCTGTAAACTAATAGTCTAAACCACCATTTCATGTCTAAGTTCTGCATTACCTTCCAAGTTGGCACATCATTGTTTTTAGACTAAACTCTTTCTTACTCAAGTAACTCAATGTCACAGAACAAAAAAGTAGTTCATTATGACTTTCAACATTTTTATCCTTCTCAGCCATATGATCAGCTAACACTTTACCATAATTTTCCAGAGCTGAACCAAGCAAGGATGAAGAACAGCTAAGATCAGGACTTGAAACTATCACTTGCCTCCACTCCACACCAAACAAGAAGCAATGAAGTTCCAATTCCGTGCTGTTTCATTTGTTCTGCTAAGCTTCATAGTGTCTCTCTTTGGCCTGATTGTAGCTGACTTGAACTCCGACAGACAAGCTCTGCTTGAGTTCTTCTCAAATGTTCCACACGCCCCAAGATTAAATTGGAGTGAGTCCACTCCAATTTGTACTTCTTGGGCTGGTGTGACTTGCAACCAAAATGAAACTAGTGTCATTAGCATCCATCTTCCAGGGGCAGGTTTCCAGGGCTCCATTCCAGAGAATAGCCTGGGTAAACTAGATTCTCTTAAAATTCTGAGCCTTCATTCCAATGGCCTCAGAGGAAACCTTCCTTCTGACATTCTCTCTATTCCTTCACTCCAATATGTAAACCTGCAGCAAAATAACTTCTCAGGTCTAATCCCTTCTTCCCTCTCCCCTAAACTCATAGCATTAGACATTTCCTCTAATAATTTCTCGGGAAGTATCCCACGTATCTTTCAGAATCTCAGTAGACTAACCTGGTTGTATCTCCAAAACAATTCCCTCTCTGGGGCTATTCCTGACTTCAACTTTACAAGTCTCAAGTATTTGAATTTGAGCTATAACAACTTGAATGGCTCAATTCCAAAGTCCATCAACAAGTATCCGTACTCTTCTTTTGCTGGGAACTCTCACTTGTGTGGACCACCTCTCAATAACTGCTCTGCAGTCTCCACTCCATCTTCATTTTCTTCCTCCATTTCTCCTTCACCTGTTCATCAACCACTCTCTCCAGAAGCAGCTCCCCAAAATAGAAGTGCTACCACTTCAAAGAGTTACTTTGGCCTAGCTTCTATACTTGCTCTGACAATTGGGGGCTGTGCTTTCCTCTCTCTCCTAGTTTTGGTGATGTTTGTATGCTGTTTAAAGAAGAACAAAAGTCAAAGCAGTGGCATACTTACAGGAAAGGCACCGTGTTCTGGAAAGATTGAGGTTTCAAAGAGTTTCGGGAGTGGGGTGCAAGAGGTTGAAAAAAACAGGCTGTTTTTCTTTGAAGGTTGCTCTTACAGCTTTGACCTTGAAGATTTGTTAAAGGCTTCAGCTGAAGTTCTTGGAAAGGGGAGCTATGGAACAACATATAGGGCTGTTTTGGAGGATGGAACAGCAGTGGTAGTTAAAAGGTTGAGGGAAGTTCTAGTTGGAAAGAAGGAGTTTGAGCAGCAGATGGAGGTTGTAGGAAGAATTGGTCGGCACCCTAATGTTTTGCCCCTTCGAGCCTTTTACTTCTCCAAAGATGAGAAACTTCTAGTATATGACTACATGCCTGGAGGCAGCTTGTTTTCCTTGTTGCATGGTACGTTTTATTTACATTGATTATTGATACATTGTCTCTTTCTGTTGCCAAGTCCATACACCAATCTCTTTTATTGATAATGGACAAAGTAAGTTTTTCTTCACCATTCTGCATCTGCATTATATTTATCAAGCTACTTGGTGTGAGTAACCAAAAGGCAAAAGCTGAAGTCAATATTTATGCTGGTTATTAAAGGAGAATTTCAATTATCTAGATTGATGTCATGGAAAAAGTAGCCTATTTTTCTATTTTTATCACCATTGAAGATTGTTTAGCAGTAGTTTTAGGGATTCGGCAAGATAATGGACAAAAAATGGTGTCTTTTGTTCACCATTCAACAGCTGCAGTATGTTACTTATGTAGCAATAAGCAATTCATCATGCAACTAGCTGACACATAGTGAACTTTAACAAAGCTACATCTTTGCTTAATTCTTCTATCCTTCCTAAACAACAGGGAACAGAGGAATGGGAAGAGCTCCATTAGACTGGGATTCAAGAATGAAGATTGCACTTGGAGTTGCAAAGGGGATTGCTTCCATTCACACTGAGCACATGGATTTAAAACTTACTCATGGCAACATCAAGTCCTCCAATGTGCTCATAACCCAAGAACATGATGGCTGCATCACTGATGTAGGACTCACTCCTATGATGACCACTCAATCAACCATGTCAAAAGCCAATGGCTACCGTGCTCCCGAAATAACCGAGTACAGGAGAATCACTCAGAAGTCTGATGTTTACAGCTTTGGAGTGCTCCTTCTTGAAATGCTCACTGGAAAGGCTCCAATAGGATATCCTGGATATGACGACATGGTTGATCTTCCAAGATGGGTGAGGTCTGTGGTTAGAGAGGAATGGACTGCTGAAGTTTTTGATGAGGAGCTGCTTAGAGGGCAGTATTTTGAAGAGGAAATGGTGCAGATGCTTCAGATTGCACTGGCATGTGTGGCTAAGGTGGCAGATAATAGGCCAACAATGGATGAAACTGTTAGGAACATAGAGGAAATTAGGCTTCCTGAATTGAATAACCATAACACATCATCTGAGTCTGACTCTAATCTACAAACTCCATGATTATTTTGTATACGTATGTTTGCCCTGCCATGGATTTCTTATTTTCTATACCACACAAGGAATAACCTTGTTGTGTCTTTAGAGTATTCAAGTTATGATAACTGTATTGTATCATGGTATGTTCAGATGACGTAGTAGTTTCTTATTCCACAAATGCAGTGAGAAACGTTGTATCAAGTTAGTGACACTGAAGAAGTAAAAGTTTTCAAACCTTGCAGTTCAGTATCACTCATTTATGTATCTCGCATGATCTTTTATCGTCACATTATTCCACATAAGAAAGATTGGAAATCTAAGAATTCCCATATGCACACAGTTTACACCTACAGTTGAATTCGGACAGAATGTTTTGGTCATAAAATTTCTTGTAAAATAGATCTAGGATAAACCCAAAGAAATGGGATCTTATTTCCACAGTTGAAAGACCAAGAATGGGTACTCAATTGATCAAGGAGCACACTCTTCAACATAATTTTTACTAAATTTTTCACTTCTTATTAAACACTCTTTTTTCCTGTTTTTTTGGTTTGTAGTAAATTTTAATCAATAAAAAAGGTTTAAGAAAGTGTTTTACGTTTTCTTGTTTCTGCTACTAGAAATGGAAATTTTCCCTTTGGCTATAAAAAAGATTTTATGAAAAAATATTCACTGCAACTTCGTGTACTTTTTTTAATGAAAGTTAAAATTGAAAATTTTCTTTATTCCATTCCAAATATGATAGAATTTGCTATCCAAACTTTTAAAATATATAGATATATTTTCTTAACTTATTTGTGTTAATTTTTTTTAACATATCAAAAGTGGATATATTTACACTTTTGATATATTTAATCTCAAATGTCAATTTAAAACTCCGTTTAACAAATCCAAAAAATTAAAACAACTATATCAATTTATTTTTAAAAATTGAGATTAGAATTGAAAGAAAGGTGAATTCTATTTTGTGACAATATTTAAAAATTAAAAATATATTTATCTCTTATTATAATTAAAAAGAGTTTAGGAAGAAATTATTAACTTTATATAAGAGATTTTACAATTTCTATATAACTATATGTCAAATACCTGGGTTATGGATATGATGACCCTACAAAAACAAATCGAAATATATGAGCTTCAAGATTTATTCAAATTCCATGTCATGACTTATGTGGCACCATTAGAAGAGTCTTTATGTTGAAGTGAAAACCTCTTATGTCTCTATCGTACAACCAAATGAGTTGCAAATAAGTGTAACATCTAAAAACCGAAAGATCTGGCTGTTTTGCATGATAATAATGGATGATGGTAAGTAATTAAGGAAGGTTGACAAAGGTCAGCTTGGATGATATGATTGTAGCCTTATTCAAATTCCACTCATTTAGCACAGGTATTCTTTTACTTTCTATCTTTACTGTAACAATTCTTTAATGAACAATATGAATTTATATAATCATTGTAATTTGTAAGGGTGAGTAAATATAAGAGATGATGTTTTCATTGAGCAATGCTTTATTACAGATATCAATAAATACTTTTTTCAGTACAATAATTATTAATATATTTTATTTTTAGTGTAACGAAAAAAGATTATAATTTCAATATAAAAATTTGATTTAATTAATTTTAATTGAACATTGATAATGATTAACATAATTGATCACGTGTTTTGATTTTTTGATTTTTTCCTTATTATCAAGTTTATTTATTGAAGAAAGAATTAATATTAATATCTCTCTAATTTTGAAAGAACATGTTTTTTACTCTCTAAATTCTTTTAAGATTCATTACATAATTAATATTAGTATGATGGCGCATTGTTTATCATTTTCTAATCCATTAAAAATCACTAAACAATGTTTATCACTTGTATAAATAATTTATATATAAGATTTAACATAGTCAGTGAATGAAAACTTACAATCCTTAAACATTAAAGTTTCACTTTAAAACTAAGATTAACTACAAGATGTTCAACTCATCCATTATAAAATTCAAGTAGTTAGAAATACTTATTATTCCTTCTCAGAAATGAAAACTTAATTTTGTATTATTTAGAGATGGATGAAAGTTACAGCCCTATAATGTCTCATTAAACACATGCAGGTGAGGATTTTCTACTCTGCATAGTTTACAACGCAATTAAACAAACTTAAAATCATCAAAAGTTGGAGTGTGATATCCTCAATACCAATGTGCTCGGAACTCTGAAGTCATTAAACTAAACAAAATTGATGAATACAAACAATTCATATTTCTTACTTCTTAAATAGACAGAAAACACAAAACTTCAGAAGATTACAAGGGAAAAAGATAATCTAGACTACTAAACCCTTCCAAAATTGTGCTTTTCCTAACACATCTTTGCTTGAAATGTGTAGGGAATATATGTTTAAATATCTGTAATTTAAATTAGTTTTTAATTAAAGAAGTTACATCAATCTCCTCAAATCTCTAAGGCATAATTCAAAGATGCAAATTTTTTGTGTAAACATTTGTAACCATTAAAAAATTGAAAGGTTTTTCCTTGAAGGATACGCGGATTTGGCCCTGTAAACAATCACGTGTCAACTCAACAGAGGAAAAACATAATTGGAGATTACGTGCATGGATTTCATCAATTAATCTCCATGCATATCGCAGAATATCCAAAGGGAACCAAGGAATTAGAATCCCTTGCCAAGGAACAAAGAATGGTGAAAGAAGGCACTAAGATGAAAGACACAAGATAATAACAAAGCTATACTTTTATATATTATGTTGGAAACCAACTTAAGATAGAAACCAATAGCAACTTAGCCATTAAGGAGGAGGGCTTTTCAAGCTTCCACATAAACATTGTGTGTTCTCATATATCAATGCATTTTTCCTTGAACCAGACGATATTTGAGACTCGATGTTACCTATGTGTTATTCCAGCTTTAAGAAAGCAATGTCTGAATTGTCAAAATCCAAGAAGACAAGTTAAGTTCCTTCATTAATATGGTATATAAAACTGTAATGTTTCTACTCTCTTCTCCTGCTCACGTTTTACCATCAGACACTAACCTTTGTTAAGAGCCATGGCCACCAACCGTGGTGTCCTCTCGACACTTGACAAAGCCAAGACACAAAGATATCACTATAAGGTAATTGGGATAGCGGGGATGGGGTTCTTCACTGATGCATATGATCTCTTTTGCATCACTGCACTTATCAAGCTCATAGGTCGCCTGTACTACTATGACCCCATGAGTCACAGTCCAGGTAAGCTTCCAAAGAATGTAAGCAATGCAATAGCAGGAGTTGCATTGTGTGGCACCCTTTCAGGGCAGCTCTTCTTTGGCTGGCTGGGTGACAAACTCGGCCGAAAAAAGGTTTATGGCATAACCCTTTCCACCATGGTGGGGTGTGCCTTGGCATCAGGGCTTTCTTTTGGCTCCACAGCCAAAAGTGTGGTTGCTAGTCTTTGCTTCTTCAGGTTTTGGCTAGGATTTGGCATAGGAGGAGACTATCCTCTCTCAGCTGTTATAATGTCTGAATATGCCAATCAGAAGACTAGGGGAGCTTTTGTTGCTGCTGTTTTTGCTATGCAAGGAGTGGGAATATTGTTTGCTGGAGGTGTATCCATGTTGGTCTCCAAACTGTTCCTATTAGCTTATCCAGCCAGCGTTTTTGCAGTTGATCCAGTGCAATCTACTCAGCCACAAGGAGACTTTGTTTGGAGAATAGTGCTAATGTTTGGTGCATTTCCTGCTGCCTTCACTTATTACTGGAGAATGAAACTGCCAGAAACTGCAAGGTACACTGCCTTAGTGGAAGGAAATCACAAGAAAGCGGTTGAAGATATGGCTAAAGTTCTTGAAAATGATATACCTTTAGAAGAATCAAATACCAGGGTTGCTGCCACACCTAGCCTCTCTTATGGATTCTTCTCTTCAAAGTTTCTTGAGAAGCACGGCCTTCACCTTTTAGGAACAACCAGCACCTGGTTCTTCTTGGATATTGCCTTCTACAGTCTTCAGCTAGCACAAAAAGATATCTACCATGCAAGTGGATTTTTACCCGGTGCTTCCCAAATGAATGCCATAGAGGAGGTTTTTCTACTCTCCAAAGCAATGTTTGCAGTGGCACTGTTTGCCACTGTCCCTGGATACTGGTGCACAGTGTACTTCATTGACAAGATTGGAAGGTACAAAATCCAACTTGGCGGATTTTTTGCTATGTCTGTTTGCATGTTGTTTTTGGGACTCAATTATCCAGAAAAGGGGGGAGATGAATGCAACCCAGATGAAACATATGATTATTGTGGTGGCAAACACACCCTCTTTGTCATTCTTTTTGAAGTCACCCTTTTCTTTGCAAACTTTGGACCCAATAGCACAACATTTATAGTGCCAGCAGAGCTGTTCCCTGCCAGGTTCCGTTCAACATGCCATGGAATATCAGCAGCAGCTGGTAAAGCAGGAGCTATCATTGGTGCTTTTGTTGTACAAAGCTATACAAGTAATCCGCAAGACGAATCAGAAGGTATCAAGACCGCACTTATAGCACTTTCAGTTGTTAATATGCTAGGATTCCTCTGCACTTTCTTAGTGCCAGAAACACGAGGCCGGTCACTTGAAGAAATCTCTGGAGAAGATAAAGAACTCACTGGCAATGTTTCTCAAGACAATGCAAACGATAAAACAACTGATACAGGAAAGGAAACCAAAAACTCTAACGCTGATATAAGTCCAGCAAACTCAGTGGTTTAGCTAATCTTAATACCCCAACTATAAGCGTCAATAATAAGAGGAAGGTGCAAAAAGAATAATGTTTGTTTCAGTAAGTTATACTTACACGTTTCTATGTTCTGCTTGTGTTTTAGTTTCCCTTTATATTCTTGTCTAAGAGACTAAAGAATAGTAATCTTCGTGTGGTTTAGTTGCTAGAATAAGAGCTTCTTCGTTGACTGTGCGAATGTGTTTGCACCAGTAGAAGAACCAAAATGAATACTTATACTGTAATCTCTGTTCCTACTGCTTCTGGTTTTAGCATATTAAGGTGTTGGACACTCAGTTAAAGTCTCAAATTTAAAAAAACATATTTTTACGGCTCCAACATCCTCGGATATAATCCAACACAGTTCCTATAACGGGAGAAGACACAATGATCTTTATAAGACGTTGGAAAGTATGAAACTTATTATCTCCTTTAAACAAACACACGTTTCATATTTATATTTTGTATTTCTCTTTTTCTATTTGAATTTGTCTTTAGATGAAATTTAACTTAGGTGGTATCTTTTTCAATGATGGTAATCAGCAAGGGATAAAATGCTCTAAATGAATTAGATCCGGTTTCACTTTTCAAATTAAGATGAATAGATTAAATTCGTTTCTGTATAGGAAAAAAAGTGTTCAACTGGTTATATTTGGCTAAAATTTCTGAAGATGATTTTAAATATAATGTTCCTTATCAGTTTAAATGATTCATAGAATGTTCAATGTATACACCTGTGGCTGTATCCTATGTTTTATAAATTATAAGTGTGGCAGTATCACAGATATAATTTTCTAAGCCATCACAAATTACATGAATTGGCTGCTCTGATTGGACATTTATTGTAGAAATCATGCATTTCTATCATTACTGAACTGGAGCACCAGTAAATGAGAATTTCTTGAAGGTAGTGTCATCCTTTTTGGGAGTAGAAGCTGGAGAATCCAGCAAAGACATACTAGTCCACCGCTCCTCAAAGTTAGCAACACAGTGCTTCCCAGCAACATCTGGCACAAAGCTTGGCCTGACTTCACGGGCTTCCAATTTATTCCAGTTCACAGACTTAAACCACTTGTGGCTTTTAATCCCCTCACTGCTTCTTGATCCACTGCCAAGGCGTTTGCTGACATCCTTTTGCAACAGCTGAAGAAGAAAACTTCCATTTTGTGAAGCCAATGTGTATAAAAAGATTGGTTCTAAATAAAAGAATACTTCACTATCATACAAGTAATGGATTTTTCAGAATCATACATGCAGAAACAACAAAAGCCTTTTCCCTCAAGAGTGAGTGTTTTTCATAACCATATTACTCAAAAGGGGGAAAAAACTAATGATTAGATGTAGGAGAAAATCTGTACCCCTTTTAACAGTGAATGTGCCTCATTTGACAAAAATGCTGGGAGCTTGATTTTGTCTTTAATTATCTTCTGCTGGATCTTATGTCTATTTCCGCCACAGAAAGGAGGCTGCAATTGGAGTAAACACTAAAATAAAGTCTAGATATAAATGTTGCAATAACTCACTCAAACATCAGCAAACTTAAGTATCAGCCTTAGATAAATACATCCAAGTGACTTGTAAATCTCCAGAAATATGTCACAAACAATCACATGATCTAGATAACTTTCTCAATCTCTTGAGCAATATGATATTATTGGCAGTCACTTAGAAACAGGATTTTCAAATACAATCATGTTTAAACAATCAAAGTTGACACAGCACCACAATTTAAGGAAATGTAAGATATAGTTTTCGGAGAGCTACAGGTCATTGACTGGCTAATAGAAATCATTCACCATAATCTTAGCAGAATAAAGTTGGAGATTGATATCATTAGCCATCATTCTAGGGTTAGTTAACATAGTATTGTGTTAGCTTATGTTTCTTTCTCCAGAAGCAAAATAAATTTCGTGCAAATCAGACATACAAACTTATTTTGGCAATTCATTAGAAACAAAGCCATTTCAGTAAAAACCTGAGTAAAATGATGTAATCCAAGCATAATGAACAACGAATAACTTTCAGTTATTTTCATGAAAGTAGAAAACATTTAATTGCATTTCAGATAATCAAGTTTATCTAACAATTTCCATGAAATTGGAGCTCCTTCTTCAGTAGTAAATGCTTGAGAGAGATATGTCAAGTTGGAAAAATAATAATATAGTGCAATCACTATTTTATACTACAAGACAAAAAAAATACTAAGATTCTAACCTTTCCGGTAAGCATTTCATATAGTAAAATTCCCACACTCCACCAATCAGCAGCCTTATCATGACCTTTTCCCATTACAATTTCAGGGGCCATGTACTCTACAGTTCCACACATAGAATTTGATCTTTCAGTGCCATTGAATTGCTTAGCCAGGCCAAAATCTGTTAACACAGCCTGATATCAAGCACATAAATATGCCATAATTCAACAAGATAGAAGTTAGAAACAAATCACAAATCACAAATCCCTTCAGAATAAATAAGCAAGCATGTGGCATGCCTAAAGCAGAGAGACAGAATCACAGACGTAAGTTTATGTTATCTTACATGACCATCTGCATCGAGAAGAATGTTTTCAGGCTTAAGATCCCTGTGCATTACATCATTTGCATGAAGATAAGAAACGGCACAAATAATCTCTGCGGCATAGAAGCGTGCCAAATCTTCCCTGACAAAAGTTGTGTGAGACAAACATGTATAAGCATAATATGGTCATAGCATGTGGCTTACAAATTACAATACCTGAATAGGCCTTGGTGATAGAGCTGAAAGAAAAGGTGGCCACCATTGACAAAATCAAGCACAAGGTACAGCCTATATTTGGTCTGTAAGTCCAACAAAAAAAGCTTGTCGTTATGCAAATATGATATCACTGTCCATTTTCCTATCCTGACACTGAAACATATGATACGATCAAAAGTCTTACTTGGAAAGCGTATCTGAGCCGCACAACAAATGGGTTGTCCACCTTTGTTAGTATATCCCTTTCAGACTTTACATATTCAGCATGGTTTCTCTCTATGATCTTATCCTTGCGCATGACCTTCATAGCATATATTTCAGAAGTACCTGCCCTCCTCACCTGGTACACCTTTCCAAAAGCACCTTGCCCAACAACCTTCAAAAGTTCAAAATCCTCAACTCCAATAATCTGATTATTCAGACAGTAATCATTGAAATGTAAATTATTTTTCTCTACTGCTGCATTGTTAACAGAATGTTCAATTTCTTTCTGTGCTTCTGTTAAGACCTCCACAAGGTCCAATGCATCTTCTGTCTCATGTAAGTTGAGCTTCCTCAGCTGCAAGGACTGACCAATACAAGTTGTGGGAGCAAATAAAGATTGAGAGCGGATGTTGATGCAATCAGGATCATTGCAAATCTTTCCACCAGAACCTCGTGTAGGTGTGGAATCTCCATGTTTCTCGGAGCTTACTGTTATTGAGGCTTCAACAGGAGATGGACCAAACACATCAGAAAATTCAAAGTCCTCAGAATTCGAAGAAGGCAAAAGATCAGGTGGTCCCTTTGGTAGAACCAACTGGTTCAGGAAAGACTTTGGCGAACTATTTTCATTTAAGACAGAGAACTGGGAAGAAACCATAGCTCTTTGATAAAACAAGGAGAGTGCAGAATATGAGACCAAGAAACTTTAGAACTATAGGTGTGATTTGCCCAAAGATTACACCCCAAATTGAGGAAGATGGAAACCCAACAATGAGCTCTATCAATTGGGAATGAACATATACTTCAGGAGCTTCTAGAAAACTTGGTAGCAAGAAGCAAACCAAGATCCAGAAAAGGAATTTGTTGTTGCTTCCCGCTCTACAGGAAACGGTGGATGTATCAACACTTGTCAAATTCATGAAGAACGGTTGTCAATTCTGCAATTCAGGACAATAAAACAGTGAATTCAAGGTTTTTGCATTAAAGTGTAGAATGGAGGGAATTAAAAATACAAACTCAATAGCATCACAGATTGCAACAAACATTTAAACTCAGAAAAAACAAAAGGAATGAAATTGCAGCAGGGCGAGTGGGAGGAGGAGGAACCCAATGAATATCGTCTCTTGGCAGTTTCAAATTAGGTTCCAAACAAACTCGATTGGGAGTTCATGGGATCAAACATGCACTCGCAGATCACAACAAACACTGATAGAAAACTACAATTCAGAGAAGTTCAAATGATGAGATAACATAAACTCCAAAAGACATTATTGTTTCGGTTATAATCAACTCCCAAATGATTAAGAAATCGAAAAGGGTATAAAGAACAAGGACAAATGTATAATTTTAGAAGACATTCCAGAGGGAAACTTAATCATCATACATAAAACACAAGGCAGGAAAGATTTGTTTTTTTCACAAAACAAGTAACAAAACCCAAATACTAACATAGATCAAATTCTGGACACAGAGTTTGAAAGCTAACTTACATTGAGGAGAATGAAGGCTAGAGCCGTTAACAAAAGAAACTATAAAGGTTTTCTTTTTCTACCTTCTTTTCTGTTCATAATATTTTTTAAAACATTAAATTAGTTTTGGCGGCGGTTATTCTTTTTCACGGCTTCGGTGTCGAATACAACAGATAAACATTAGTTGACTTTGAGGAAAAGAGGACAACGTTAAAGTATCAAGACATGGATAAACAGTGTTTTGAAAAATGAATTTTAATAGAAAAAAACACGTTTAAAATAAGATTTTACTTTTTTTAACAAGATAGAAAGTGTTTTATAACAATTTTTTTAAGGATTATTTAAATTATGATTCAAAATTTTCCACAAAACATGTTACATTAATTTTCTAATTATTGCAACTACTACCACTAACTTTTATATTAACATTAATATATAAAATTTGAAAATGGAGTTAAAATTGAAACTTCTATATATGGCTTTGCGTTTGGGATCTGATTAAATGAACCTCAAGCAAAGCAACAGAATACATACAGCGAGGATGTACTTGTACGCAATTCTTTGTCATGTCTTTTCTTTGCGTATGCAAATCAAATTCCATGTTTTGGTTCTTCAAAATTTCATCTCTAAATTCATTATTATTTAATCCAAAAATCACGTGTTGAAACTTTTTTTTGTCATTGACGCGTGTGATGATCTAATCTTGTTCAATAATGGAATAAATTGACATCTAAACTAACATAGC